AAAGTTGAAGTATCGGTATCGGAAATCAAAAAGAGGTATCAGTCCATCCCTAATATATATACATATATATTGATTTTTTAAAATAATGTTTTGATGTTTTCTATATTCTGGTATTTTTTTATTTGGATATTTTCAGATATTTTGGGATATATTGTTTTTCAGTTAGATTATTATTATTGTTTGTTTTCTCCCCGAGCTTCTTCCAAGCAGCAGTGTGTCGTGAGTTGTTCACAGATTCCACCAAATTCATATTTTTCTGTCTTAACTTCTCCCAAATTCCAATAAATGTTTTGTCTGTTAAAGTGCAGCAGCAGAAATGTGAGGTTTGACAGTAAATTAAACTCTTCGGTCTTCAGTTTAGAAACGAGCTGAGCTGTGAGTCAGTTGTGTGTCAGCAGAGTTTGTGTTTCTGATTGTGGTTTTCGTGTCGGCGTTTCTGGGTCGACGCCGGTTTCCTGTGAACTTCTCGCCTTCCGCCGTCTTTGATTTGTCACCGCTGAAGTCGTGCAGGTCGAAGTGTGTCGATGTGAGCGTTGAGAAACGTGCCGAACATTGAGGAAGTTCAGAGATAGCAGGAGGACCTGGTGTCCGCGGCTCAGCACCAATCAGCAGGTTGTTCATCTTCAACAGCTGATGATTCAAGAGTTTCTCAGATTTGTTTGACTCGTAAACAGCTGAACGTGGGGTTTAATGGAGCTCAGATTAGGATGAAAGGATTAAATTAAACCACAAATACTTGGAGTGCAGAATAATGCAAATGAGGAAACTGATCGTGTTTGTGGTGACGACAGCAAACCGACGGCGTCCAAACGGGAAACTGTTATTTTCCACCTGAAGCAGCTGAAAACGATTCTGTGTCTTGGTTCCTGTTTCTTGGTATATTTTCTGCCTGCTTTTGCATAATTTTCTTCTTTTTTTACTTGTTTTCTGCCAGATTTTTAAAAAATTATTATTTTAATTTTCTGCATTTTTTATTTTTAAATTTTTTATTTTTTTTGGGGGGGGGGTATATTTTCTGCATGATTCCCGCCTGTTTCTTGGTATATTTTCTGCCTGCTTTTGCAT